ACGCAAGTTTTGGTCCCGGGTTATGCGCCTTCCAAGCGCTGGAACTTTTGTGCACGAACATTCGTTGATGACGGGGTTCTCTATTTTTTGCATGCAAGGAGAGAAAACATGTGATTTTGGCAATTCTGTAACGCCACACAAGTCCCGCTTGCGCACAACCATCTCATTTGCCGTACGTTGGTCGGGTTACTTTTCGTCCGTGCGTGTGAATAGAAATTAATAAGCTGTCTTAAATGACTATGAAGACAACCTAACAATATCACCTCATAACAGGCTTTTCGACGTATGCCTTTCCTGTTTTCGACAGCCGTTCAATAGTAAAGCTGTGCGCGTAATGCATCTCTTCTCTATTCACGTGGCGTTACAGGTGAGAGGCGATTGTGCGATCTGTGTTAGCCATCAACAAATTGTCACTATGTGAGTTCGTTAAGGGTATCAGCATGCCGCCGGGGCTCGATGTCATCGTTCTGCGAAAGCTGAACGGAAACCTGAATGGAGGTTTATTTAATGGTGCCTAACGGTAACCATGGAATGCACATCATCAACATGCCGTCTCCGATAGGCAGGTGGAGCTCTTCGCGCATATATTTCAACGGCTGGTGAAGTACACGCCCACGCTAATTGGGCACACAACCTGCTGCACAGCTTTAACACTCTCTGCTTGGTTACGAATCGACCGACCATAATCTGACGGTTAAGCAGCGCCTCCCTCCTCTCTTGTGTCAGACTTCATATATGCCCTGCTTGATGCCGAACCCCAAAGAAGACCAATAAGCACTTCCCCTACGAGGAACAATCCCGGACCAGGCCTGACCTGCAGCGAGCCACAGAAGCTCATTAGACCTGTTTAACTCAATCCAGCTCTATCCGGCTCTATCCACCGCGCCGCAGCTGTTAACACTGCTAAGATATATACTCAAGGCTAAAAGAGGCCGCTGCCAACCCATCAACAATACCTATATATTTCATCATGCAGGAGGAAATAGCATGCAGCTTTGCGGATATGCTTGTAGTCTTCGTCAAATTGTGCCAAACCCCCAAAGCAGTTTGAAAAACAGGGCCCACGGCACGAGGATGTTGCCACAGCACACTTGGGCAGGCACACGTCGCCTCGGCAAGGCCTCAACAGTCGTGGTCTGATGCCATACTGCAGTGGTCTGTCAGGTTTCTGCGCCAACGTTTGGCGTTTGTGCGTGGACAATCTGGGAGCCACCTGCGGGAGGGAGGACCCCTGACATAGGGAGCGCGGGTCGCCAACCCACATGGAAGTGTGGTGGTTTACATGGGCCCAGACGTGCAACGTAATGTGTCAATGTTTGGTGGCATGGGCGGAGTACCAGGGGCATCTTCATAGGCCTTGCCCCGCCCAACGGAAAGCTCCATGGATTGAGGCACAGAACACGCATGGAGCACACATTCTTCTCCACAGGCAGCTGCGCGGTACTGAGTTTAGTAGTGTGTATGTATTGTTTCCACCCGAACGTATTCGTGCATGCAAGTATTGTGGGATAAACTGGACAAACTGCTGATGAAGTGTGGTAGGAAAATAGTGGGGCCTCGGTGGCTGACTTGACTGGGTATTGCAGTTGTGGCCCAGAGTGCGTGCCTCCCTATATTGCCAGAGTACGGTAACCAGCCGTGCAAGTTTTCCTGCCCCATGTACTGGGATCGGAACCAACACGCACATGAGGCACTTGTTGTTGTTGTTGTTACATGGTCGTGGGTGCGTTCCCCGTACCTGCAAACCACCCTAGTACGAGCCGAGGGCTCAAGGGCTGCCAAATCGCCTATAAGCACCATCCTACCTCGCACTTCCACCGAAACAAGTGATGAAGTATACTAACGACCAAAGGGAACGATAGAGTTGCGGTGAGACCATATACGTTCCAGCATCCTTGCCAGGCGTTCAGGTTCCCACTTAGGCACTAGAGGCACTTGTAAGCGGTCCCCTTGCAAAGTTTTCTGTTCTGTAAATTCCTTCAAAGTCATGCGCTTCCGGACGCCACTGAGCCAATTTTGCCAACTCGACAGCCAATTCGACACCCCGAACAGGCTAATTCGACACCCCGAACAGGCTAATTCGACACCCCGAACAGGCTAATTCGACACCCCGAGCAGGCTAATTCGACACCCCGAGCAGGCTAATTCGACACCCCGAGCAGGCTAATTCGACACCCCGAGCAGGCCCATTCGACACCCGGACAGGTCAATTCAGGCCCAGTACAGCCCAATTCAGGGGCTCCACAACGCAATTCGAATACCTCCAGCGAGCCTGCTAGAATAATTGAAGACACCGGCGGACCAATTCTTTTGTCAGGAATAAAATTCAGGCCAATTCTGCGACAGAGCCCTTCCCCAATTCCAGCCCGGATCCTACCCTCCTCAACTGGCCCACAACAAGCGAACCTGATACCTTTGACCCAGATCCGCACAAGCCTTCCAACTGCCATCATGCCAATTCTAGGCATTGCAGGAAAAAGCCTTTGCCGAATCCAGGTTGAGTTCAAACGCAACCTAACATTCGCATGCTCAACCAGGGCAGGTTAAGGGGACGTTGGGGCTGTACTTCCTGTACCCGACACGAATGCAATTGCTGTCCTACGCTTGCGCAGGCAGGCTCCTTCAAGATTATTTCTCATTACTTCACAAGTGGGAACAGCACTATCTGCAAAAATTTAAGGCAATATGTAAAAGAATAAAGAAAGACCGTACTTGAGGGAACAAACGACAGACTGAGGACGTCCAAGCCAGCCACCCAAACACTTCACCAGATATACCTAGATAGACCACACAAATACTCTGCCTGTCCAAGCACCTGCAATCAGCATTACAGGTTCAATCGGCCGTATTCTGTAGGAAAGAGTCCTAGGAGGTACTTCGTGGATATCCCGTGGCCAGCTTTCAATCCCCAGCATTTCCCACCGTGGCGACCCTTCACCGCTGATGTCACTGCCAGCTCAGCCTCTTTCCTCTCATCGCTACAGCCTTTTGCTATCCTTGCGGTGTGCTTTCCCACCCACCCCCGCCTCTGCCAGCTCGGCCTTACACAGCTACAGCCTGTTGTGGCGGCGGGGTTGGGTGGGAAAGCGCAGCGCAAGAACAGCAAAAGGCTGTAGCGATGAGAGGAAAGAGGCTGAGCTGGCAGTGACACCATAGGCGAAGGGCCGCAGCAGCGGCGGGGGTGGGGAAGCACAGCGCAAAAACAGCAAAAGGCTGTAGCAATGGAAGGCAAGAGGCCGAGATGGCACAACCGCCTCCTGCTACCGCCTCCATGATTTGTTGGTAACCAGCAACTTGACAATACCCGTCGGCCACTATCCCACTATCCTCGTTCCAAAGCGCTAGGTCCCTAGGCTGCATATGCCGCTAGGCCTACATCTGCATGTTGCCAGACCATAAAGGTGCCATGCTGCCACCGGCTTCCAGGCCTCCTCAGCTGCTACCTTTCCTGCTAAGGCTGTAACAGGTCGCTTCCAGGCTGGTCGAGCGCTAGACCTGAAGGCGATGATTTGCTTGGCCGCTAGGCCGCAGGGGCTGCTATGTACTGGGTCATTCACATAACGCGGCAACCGCGACTCATCTGCATAATCACTGTCCACCAAAAACTTGACCAGCCTGCAAACCGGAAAACCAAGCAACCCTACTAAACAAAATGCCCTGCAAACCCTTACGGCTCTACAAGCCATAAGCATCCGCACCCGATCTCCCACTCAAGTGCAACGGTCCCTTTCGCGATGACCCTGCGTCCGCCATCATCACCTCAGCGCACTCACCCCCGAGACCCATATCCCCGACCTCTTCACCCCTCGCGCCAGGCTACTGATGCGCCCGAGAACCATTCCCCAGTCGCTATTACTACAGTCGCTACAACTGCTCTGTTCCCGGTACCCACCACCGGCGACTGCCATCGCGTCCGTGCTTCCGACTTCCCCCGCCAGCCCAAAGCTGCCGCAGGCCAAGCCCCGCCAAGACTGGTTCAGGCTCTCTCCGGCCTTGTCAGATGGCCCCAGGATCCCCTGCCCGGCCTCCTGCATCCGACACACTGTAAGCTTCCTACGGATCTTGCTGCAACTGCGGCCCCAGCTGCTGTTGCTGCCTTTCTTGTTGTTGGTGCTGGTGTTCCTGGCCGGCTGTGCTTGTGCTGGGGTACCTGTTTTCAATATGGTCTGCTTCTCGAACGCCACCACCACGTGTGCGGCGCTGGCCAGGTGACTCTCCAAAGGCTCTGACACGTGGGGACAGCGGCGCATCAACGCAGTCCTTGTCCCGACTCCCCCCTTCCTCTTGGGGATGCCCTCCGGCCCCTTCATCCCACCGCCCTGGGAAGTCCGCAGAGCTCGCCAGCAACGGCCTGTGCTCTGAATCCAACCCCCTTTCAGCTGCCTGGGCTCCTGGTAAGCTCCCATACACACACCGTCCCTGGTCTCCGTCCTTGCCACCATGACCAACATTCCCGCCCTGCGGCCGAACCCCAGCCAGCTCAAGTGCCATTGTCGGATTCGACGCAACAGCAGCGATGCCGGGTCTGCCGTAGCTTATGCAGTAGCCTGCCTTTGTATAATCCGAGCCGTTGGCGTCGGCGGCATCCTGCCTAGTGCAACCACCCCCAGCGCCGCTTTCTGCCGCGAGGGGTGCGGTTCCCGTGGTGATCTCCGCCGCGACGGCAACTGCCTCCGACGGGGCGACCGCCGGGGATGGCGCTGGCAGGGGCGACTTGGGCCGTAGATTGACCAGCACGGCACCTATGGCGATGAGAACCGAGCCGCCAGCTCCCAGCGGGGTCAACTGCTCGTGAAGAAACGTAAGGCCCAACAGATACGAGTAAACTACCTGTAGGTAGGCCAGATCCCATGGAACGCGAGATGGGCCTTATGGGTGTACGACGCGGGAGGAGAGCATGGCTTGCTACATCACGGCATGTGGCGGGTCAGAAATAAAAGGCCCATCACACAGGCAATTTCGGGAGTATCCTTGAACGGGATAAAAAGGTAAGGCCCACATCAGCCAGTCCTCATCAAGCATAAAACATGAAGCCATTCCCTTGAATAAGCAGCAACAGCACCCACCTGGGTGAGGTTTATGGCAGACGCCCGTGCCGCGTTCATCAGCTGAAAGCCCCGACCGATGAGGATTTGACCCCAGAACGAGCAGCACGCCACCCCCAGCAGCAATGCCCACCCCACGCCAGTGGGCCACACTGCCGGCGCCGGCAGCCCCGCCGCCAATGGTACGATTGACGACGCGGCAGCGCACACATGGAAGTACACTGAAACCACCAGCGCTGGCTCCGACTTTCCAATATACCGAATCGAAATAAACGCCCCAGCAGACAGAACCGCAGACAGTAAGCCAAACATAGATCCGAACAGGCGCTGTTTGTCCCCGCCGGCGGCGGCGCTGGCGCTGCCGGCGGCTCCTGCCGTACCCACGCCGACGCCGGCGTCGCCGTGTAGACCGCCGTCTGAGCCACTGGTGTAATCATCTTGGTGCCCGAAAAGAAGGGGCGGTCGGGTCAGGAGGATCAAACCACACAAGCTGATTAGGACGCCGCTGATGCCGCGGAATCCTAGGGGCTCATTCATTATCGCCCAAGCGGCCACTGCGGTAATAGCTGGGTTAAGGAAGAACAGCGTGACCGCGTCGGCCAGCGGAAGCATCTTGATGGAAAAGTAATAGGTGGTCATGGCAGCGGCGCCGAAAAGGCCACGGGAGATGAGGAAGCGAAAGTTTGCGCGGCGGCCGAAAAGGGGCTTGAGGCCAGCGGCACGTGCGTAGACCAGGCAGATGGTGAAAGAGACGACAGAGCGAAATGCGACGATTTGAAAGACGGGAATGGCAGAGCCAATTAACTTTACAAAAAGGGCGGCGAAGGAGAAGACCACGGCGGCTCCACAAACGCAAGCGGCTCCGGAGTCCCATGCCACTCTTGCGTCACAAGGGCGGAAGCAAGCAGTACAAGTTAAGTCAAGCACGCCGCTTTCTGCCCCAACACCAGGGCTTCCTGTGACATAGTTTCCCAAGACTGAAGCTCCCAAAAATCAATGCCTATTATATCTGGTCATGCATAATCGGAGGAATGCGTAGGGAGCATAAGTTGAGGTGGTTGCTTGGAAAAAGACACGGTTTTGCAACCCTAGGGAACCAGCGTAAATCAACTCGACAGGTCCCTGCTGTCAACATAAGATGACTCGAATCGCACAGCGGCAGCTCGTTTAGGGGAGTGCACGTGAGACTTGCTGCACACCCCGCGTTATAACGTAAGGCATACCGGAAGAGTGCCTCCAATCGCCTCCGGTGTGCTGTTAGTGCTGAGGAAAGAGCTTCATCACTCCGGACTCCTGAGCCATTTGCAAGCAGTGCTGTGTCATCATCTGGAGGTGGTTGAGATTGAATGACTACCGGCACTAGGGTTGCCATTGTGAAGACTCTACTAAGCTATCCAAAAACATCATGCATGGTACAAAAGAAATTGCAAGGTAATCAATTGAAGCCAGGAAGGTAAAGCACAGCCGAAAAACTTGTTATTCCGATGCGACCTCAGACAGCATCTTCAGACCTCAAACGGTTACTTCTCATTATATATGTGGCTTTCCATGTTGCTATAATGCAAGAGGGAGGAACCGACGGTGTACGGGACAAGCCAAAACGCATCAACCAGGAGACCGCGCAAAAGGCTCACAGGGTAAACAGGGCGCGCAAGGATACCAAGCTGCGAGTGCTACCCAGTGGCGCCTGCACTCGAAGTATGCGCGTGGTGGAGGGGGCCCCGTAAGACTAAGACGAGCTGGCACGTGACTGCACGTAACTGGAATGTGAACACCAGGGCCTGGTTTGATGGCGTTGATCTGAAACCCGGGAATTAGGGTTAGGATCCTCTCACGCAGGCTTCTTCCGGCAGGTTCTGGTCGCTTACTATTCCATCGCCCTCATTTGCCACTTGCCTTTGCTTTATTATGCCACGTCGCGCATTTCCTAGCGCTTGCTATGGTGCCAAGCGAGGAAGATGGGCTTCGCTGTCTTAGGCATGAGAGTTGAGACTTTGTTAAGCAATAAATAGCTTTACGGTTGAGGTGGATCCAAGCGTGCCCGACGGTTCCGTGTCAGAGGTTTGGGGTATCTGAACACGGCAATGTAAAATAAGAGCAAGGAGCTGAGATTTTAAACAAGGAAGTCACCGAATCCTCTGACAGTGAAATGTGGGTGTAAGCATCCTGGATTTTGCGGTGCGACACAAAAGAGAAAGTGGCAAGGTATTTCCTTTTGAAATACAGTACCTATCCGAAATATGGTTTGGGGCGAAACTTAAACAATTCCGAGGCTCGAAGCATCTACAAGGTAAGTCAAGCATCTAATAGCGCGGGATCGTACAAACAGCGAAAATCGGAACAGTGCCGCGCATATAATTATAAGTGGCCTCGACCTTCTTAAGGCTGATGAGGTACTGACAAGTGATATGGAGCTATCGGCAACGCGTTAAAGTCTGCGCCTGTGCAGGGCATAGGGCCCTGCCGTTAGCAATTGCTAACAGTTTTGTCTCTTTCCCTACGCAATTAATATGTCTGAAGGTAAAAGCCCATGTGAACATGTAGGGTCTCTCATCCTTCTAATACTTGACGTTGCTAAGCGTACCCGTCCGGCAACGACCTCACGCAACACCGGCAACGGTACTACATCAATTGTCTCCGTGGCACATCACCGTGTGAAATTTTAACATATAACTATTGATATTCTTGGTGCAAAAACTATTAAGCTGTGACGGCACCTTTATTTAACCGGAAATTCTTTTGAACTGTTCCTCGCGCGTCAACCCCCCTTTTCAATTACTGTACCCCTTGCCCCCGGGCTTGCCTTACTTGAACCGATATCGCTACTACAAGAGCTCATGTATCTTAAGTAATTAGTTCTGCAGAGGCTGTCTGCCGTCCGATGCCGCAGAACGATGGGAGAGCAGGCCTCACCGAGGTGAGCGAGACCGCGGCTGGAAAAGTTTGCTTTGCCTTTGCAACTGAGTAATTACGGGTAAAGGAGGGAAGATGCATGCTGCCCTTAAGGCAAGGAATCCCTGAAACAACCCCCTGACCGTCGCCATTCAGCTTCCAATGAAATTTCGGATTTCGTTCTATTCAAGCAATATGCATTTTAGTAAATTGCTGACCAAGCAAGACCATGGAATTTGATGTCGTGCCCCTTTCCCCTATATGGACCAACCGCTGCTTCGCAGGCCGGCGCCATGCCCTTTAGCTCATCACTGCAGCAGCGTGGAAATGTCTCATCCCACGGCCGAGCCTCTTTGGATGCAATGCCAGTTACCCCGAAGGTTCGCGTCTAACGATGGCATTGGGTTGCTTTCACGGGGTTGAACGTATCTGGCGCCTTCTGGCGTGCTAGAGGCGAGGCCCTTAGCGGCTGATGCCAACAAGGGGAAAGAGTTTCGGAACTGGGGATTTTTTCCGTGACGAAATGAGGCTCTCTATGATAGAAAAGGCAAGGCTTTTGGTGACCATCTCTCGGGAACCAGACCGGTGGCCAGCGGGACGGCTGACCTAGGATTTTTTCGCCATCGACCTACCGTAGGCGTTTTCGTACACTTAGGACATCGTTGACGTGTATTCACACCTCTTTAATTTTACAGCCCGTTCGCTGCTGTAGCTGCTACCCCCAGCTTAAAGTGATTTTCCTTGCTGCTTCTATCCCTATCCTCCAGACCGGGAGTTCCGTGCTGGGTGTACGGACCCCAGCCACCAGCTCTCCGCATTACGGTGCCGTACGCAACGAAACAACCCGCGCGAAGTCCACCGGACGGTTGCCCAGGCGTGTTGAAAACCTCAGCCAACAGCTAAACGCCTCTGAAGGTAAGACACGACGATTGGGAGTTTGGGACGCCAGCGAAGCAATCCATTTGTGCAGAAAGGGACCAATGGAATAATGTACCATCATAAATGGATATTTAGTTATTGGACTTTAAAAAATGATCCTGGACGCGGCCGCCGGCAATGCAGTGTCTTTGGAATGTGTGCCGGCAGGTTTTCATGACATTTACACCGCAATACAAAGCAAAGGAAATCTCCACAGCGCAGCTGAACGGGACAACGGCCAAAACTGCTGTTAGGGATAAACCCTGATCCCTAAGTCCCTTTTACCTGCATACCCTGGGTTTGCACAAGCAATTGCGTATCTAACGGACACGCACCACAATACGTTTGCTTACACCTAGCCTGTCCTCGCAGCACTTCTCCGTCCTTCCTTCCCCTTTTTACCGCCATTCCGCCTCGTGCTGCTTCATGGTTGGCTGGGACTCAACGCCTATACCGAGGTTCCAGCCAAAAACATTGCAGATAGCCATCCCGCTACCGCGCCCTCTGGTTGGGCGCGTGGCGTTGCGGCCAGTGTCACTGATTCGTCACCACGCTCATCGCCGTCGCCGCCAGGGCCACGCAGGACCCATGTCGGTCGCAGCTCCCGGCCCGACGAAATTACGGTAGTGGAATCCAGCTCCCCCATCGCGCCTTTGGCGACTGTGTCCGGTCATATCATGTCGACGCCTTCGCCATCGCGGTGCCCGGCTGACACAGTGGCAGATCTCTCCGAGGATCCGACGCCGACGCTAGTTTGTTCGCAGCC